CCGCCGTCGCGACACGATACATGCTTAATAAATAAATCTCTAGAATTAATTCATGTTGCGCTCGCAATTCCGATTCAACTGAAAAGTTCAGAAGAAAATGGCTTCGAGGTAGTTTTGAATTCCGTTTCAACGTTTGCGCGCGTGGAATTTTTGAGATATCGCACGGAAATAAGTTTCGTTTATCGCCCGAATTACATGTCAATTGCTTTCTGTCCAAGCTACAACTATATTATTTACCTATCACTCGACACGTGTAATTCACATCGTAAAACTTATTTTCGTTTGTTGCGATATTACTTTACACTAGCCGAAACGAGATGTGGAATACGAGAATGGTAACGTCTGTTACAGCGATTGTAAAACCATCTGTATTGCATCCGCATTGCGAATTTAGGTTGATCGCGTGACTGCCCATAAATAAAACTTAACTTGTATCAAGGTAAATTGCAATAAAATAAAATAAAACTTGGTTATTTGTATTAATTACAGATATTACTTGCAATGGCATGATAGCGTGCTATCATTTTCATTAAATAAAATTGAAATAATCCCAAATATTTTCAAAGCCATTTGTTTCTATATTTTGCGATTTCATATAAAAAAGAACATATTTTTAATTTTTCTTCCAAAATGTTATTTTCATTAAGGATTTAAAAGCTAAATTATTTAAATCAAAAGTTATATAAAATAATTTGAATATACTATATACACAAATCATCAAAAATTACCAGGAATGATGTTAGCAATTTAACCATGCATTATTGCGTATGCACCGCTATACGCAATTATTTAATTAGTGCACAAATTGTTGGTTAATGGTTTACCTCTCGCGTAATTGTAATAATCAAAGAAAATCACTTTTGAAAAAAAAATTATTTTCCGACTTTTCCTACCTCTTATAGTCCGAGTTTTTTTTCTAAAATTCTAGGTATCGATCAGATCAAATTTTTGCAACAAACATGAAACGCTGTATCGCTCTCGATGTATTTTCTATGATGTTTACGATAGCTTATCGATTATCTGTATTCCCATATTTGCGTATCGATTTCGCTAATAACTAAATATCCGTTTCAATATATAATTATGTACATATAATTAACAATATATATATATGTAATTTATAGTTAGATTAAAAAGTTATTTCTATTAAAAAATAATGGGCAAATATAAATGTGCTAAAGAATATCTGTGCATGTCATCGAGAAGAAATATTTGTCAATGTAACATATCATCGAAAATTAATAAATAAAAATGTATATATACATCGAATATATCACTTAAACTAAATAAAAAAATCTACTAAAGTTTTTAATAAATTTATCTTTAACAAAGTTTACTGTAACAGATTCCAATATATAATTAACTTGTAATTCGCACGAAAAGCTCTTCATTTCGATGGTTTCTCACTAGCGAATAAATCGTTGATTGCAAGCAGATTAATAGTTGTTTGTTAAAAATAAAATTGGAATCAATTAAAATAAAGAGATAAAAACGAAATATCAATTACTAGTTTCAAGTATAACTAAACCATCTTCTATCCATCAACAGTTCCTATATGAGCGAATCTAATCAGAAGAAAAAAGCAGTACCTATGTCAAATCAGTCGGGGAAGTCAGCGCAAGCGTGTCTCGGACACTTCGTATATATAGGGTAGTAGTAGCGACGCGCCAAGTGACCGCTGACTATCACGTTTCATTAATGCCTCTTATTCCGTTAACGTTGGAGATCGCAGCGCGTGCGCCTCGCCCGCTCGCCCGTTCCGACCTGTCTGTCGTCATCGCGATTACGCGCCACTTGTTAACTGTTAAGGACAGGTGGAACCGACGCGCGCGCTTACAATTACCGCTTACGTTCCGTCACGACACGAAGTTCAAGATAAGAAGAAAATTTGCAAGCCTGCGACACCGACCCCGTCATCCTCCAATGCCCGCGCGGAATTTGTCGTATCGCCGGCGGCTTTCTACTTTTCCGCGTCGAGCGTTTAAGGTAAATCAAATCAGATCGTTTCTTTACTCGTGTCTCAATTGCGCCGGCGATTTCTATTGCTGCACAAACGAGACGCTGAAATTTTCAATGTAAAAAAGAAACTTTCTGCGAACTAACTCTATTTTCATCTTGACCCTTTAGTCGCGACAATGTAAAATGTATTTGTTTCACAGTTTAAGAAATTGGCCATATTTTAAAATCTTTGATTATATTGATTTAATATATATAAAATATAAAAAAATACTCCGATATAATTCCGATGTTTATAATTAATAAAAAATCGCATTTTAAATAAATATCTATCCTTAATTCCTATATAATTGTTAAGAATTATTTTTAATTAAAAATCCTGTTGAAATAATAAATTTTACGTAAATATAAGCAAAAGTTATTATATATATATATATATATATATATATATATGGTCACGAGTAAAAGTCCTCCCAAACTCGGTGTCATTTGCAGGAATCTCATGAGCGTGTCTCTCGGGGAGGGAATATGACCCTGTTCCGTTGTTCGTCACGTTCGGCGCGATAAATCGACCGCGGAAGGTCGTCATGCGAGTCAAACAGTAGAGAGTCATCCGGCAGCGGCCCGTGCAGTCGCCAAGATGAAGTGGGGACCGGTGGTCTCGACGACGCCGAGATCGGAGAGGTGGAAGCGCATTGAACCGACGCCGGCAGCAAATTGGACCACCTTCAAAAACGCACCGACGCAACGCGACGCAACGCGACGCGACGCGACACGACGCGATGATTGGCGAGAAGCGATGTCGCGTATTATTAACCGACGATTACGAAGCGTTCGCACGCGTGAGTATATAGTGCGAGGGAAACGCTAGCGTTGCGGTATATGCATGTCGCGACGGGCGCGCGCTCGAGATTCGGTACGAGGCGACGCGACGCGGATTCGCGACTTACGTGGCGGGTTAAATATAAGCGCGACACACGGCGGTGCGGCGCGGCGTCCCGACGATCGCGCCCCGGGGAGTGCCTCTCTTCTCACGGAGGCGTCGCAGTCATAGCGACATAATCCGAACGCTTCAACACTCCGTCGAGGCGATTACGCCGTCCTTGAAATTCGCGGAAGCGCAAAGAGAGATGTTTGTTGCAGTGTTTTTTTTTAATCGATCTCTCTCTGTCTTTCTTGTGACACTGCTCTCACGCAGTTTCCTTTGTAGCAACATTACATGATCATTTCGAGATTAGACATGAATTTTGTAAACCGATTTCATGGTATTATTGGATACTGTATAATGCACATATCAGTTCATCAAAACTTCTCGATTGAAGATATTTGAAAATGGTATGCGTTATAAATTCCATGACTTTGATATCTCAATCTTGTTTGTCTTTTAAATTTTCAATGGCGAACGTAAGAATTGATTTAAAACACGGATACATCTCGCACAAATGTGAAGAAAATTAAAAGCGTATTAAAGTAATACTGGCGGAGAGATTATGAATTTATACTAACTTAATAAAGATCACATTTCATAGTCGAAAATAAATTTTTGATAAATTTTCCATACAATTTTTTTGTTGGAGAGTTTATACTTTAATTAACAGTTAAAACATGTACCGTAAATTAATAAAAGTTAGTACTGAATTTAAACGTGAAATGCGCCTGTACACCCGTGCTATATCACGCGCGAATTAAAATATTCACGTGCGTTTACATAAGTTAGCTGCCATATTACCCGGCTGTCTGCAAAAGGGAAATGTGTACACGCGCCTGTTGGAGCATCCCTCTCCATATTAACAATATTGCCGCGCTATATCCCCGAAACTGATCGAGAATTCTACATCGGCGACGCGTTTTCAACTAAAAAACTATCAGGCAGAGTGTATCGAGCCCGATCGTACCCTCGAGTCATCACAAATCGATCGGAGCGGTCGCTCTGCGACGAACAATTATCGGGAACAAGTGAGATATCACGCGGTGTACTCCTGTTTATTCCCGTACGCCCTTAGGGTGTTAAATTCTTTCGCGTGCTCAAATATGCAACGGCGTATTTTACAGATCGATATCCACTGTCGAAAGCCGAGCTTTAATAATTCATTCGCGCGATGTGTGTTTCAAAACTAAATACCCAGACAGCTGAAGTCTTTACTTATGATTGACAATTTACGCTTAAAGTGAAATTTGAAATTAATCGAGTTTGAAAGACCAAACTTTGTTATTCCATTAAGTTCAAACGCCTTATTTTTGCTATGATTATAACTAAAATATGCAAGTCTATACGTCCTTACGTTAAAGAAAAATGTTTAAAATTTTTAACAAGAAATATCGCGCTATGTAGCACGATAAAAAGTTTTACATAAATTAAATACGTATACATTCGTCAATTTATGTTCACGAGTGTGTAATGCGCATAGTAAATTTAGCAATTATTAAAGCAATTTTATCGTAGCATTTATTTATTTTTTTTTTAAAGCAATGAAACTAACAAATCGCATTAAGAAGCAACAGTAATTATCATTGCAAGATCTTCGTAGAATAATTTCATTTATTAACCTATCCTTTTGAACCATAAATATTTGCTTAGTAAACGCAAAACTATAGTAATTAAGATCCTGAATTACAAATGATCAAATTCCAGATATTTTATGCAGCAGCTTTTTAATTAGAGTACAAATTAGCATTGCATTTGAGAATACCTTAGCAGCGCCAATATTACTTTATAAGAATTCTCATTGAAAAATTAGGTTTTCCAAAAAAGGAATCAATATACATAATAGCGGTTCTCTCTTATAAAAGAGTTATTAAAATTAGTTCATGTTTTTTAAAGAAGATACTTTATTCGAGATAAATTAATGTTGTAATGAAAAACTTAAATCGCGAAGACCTGAGATAAAAAGTGCAACAAGTGCCACAATAAAAAAGTTCAGAGAAATTTACTTTTCTCCAAACAATATCAGCCATTTGAAGAAAGTACGCGAAACATTTTTTTAATAGTTATTTCGTCATAAATGTTTTAATAAATCATTTTTATACGCGCCAAATAATTGTTATCAGCTGGAACAAAAAATGGTTCCCTCTTTCCTGTTTACGCCGAACCTTTGATCATGATTTTCTATCAGCACGCGTTCCGCTTTACTAATCAGGATCCATAAATTGCATAATTTTTGGGACTCACCGTAATCCGGTCGAACGACAGCTTGGACGACCTGTTCGTTCTTCTTGTTTCGGAGCACCGGCTCGCCGAGGATCGTGAAGTTCCTGGGTCCCACGCGATTCACAAACACTAGATACACTTTGCCCTTTTTAATATCGGCTCGCACCACATCACTCGGATTTTCGCGCTGCTGCTGCTGCTGCTTGTTACCCTTGTTGCCAGCTTCGTGGCCGTTGCACACGGTCGACTTGCCAGACATTTTGTAGCGGAAATGCAACCGTACGCTGTCGTTCTTCTGCAGCGGCTGAAAGCCGGGCTGGCTCTTGTATATCTGCTTTACCAGAAAGGTCACCGCGTAGATCACGCCCTCCTCCCTCCGCGAGGACATGCTGCGAGCCTTACCCCTGAACACGGTGGGCGCCAGGTAGGCCCGATTGCCCACGTCAACATCGGGACACCAATTTTGCCCGTGGCAGCCTCTGTCCTTGTTTTGGCAACGGCGTCGCTTCTCGCGCGGCGAGTCCGCCCTGGTGCGGTTCTTTGGTCGTTGCTTCGCCGATCTGGCGACCCGTGGCCGCTGCATCGACGATTCCGTCGGCGTCGACATCATCGCCGGCAGATACGCAAGGGGTGCCTGCGTCGAGGAGTGACGGGGCACGCGAGTCAGACCGGACTCGTTAATCTCCGGGTGAAAGACGCGAACGCGTGTCTCCGTCTCGACGGCGGAGAGAGTGTCCTTCGCGAGGTCCTCCGTTCGCTTGGGATAATTCGGCGTGATTCGCCGAATTCCAGGATCCATCTCGGGCGTTGCTCCACGTGTCGTGAAGTAATACGAGATCTGTCGCATGTCATTCTCCGAGGATGGCTCTCCATCTCTGTGGAAATCTCCTTCGAAATTCACCAGGCTCAAATCAATCGGCGGGACCTCGTCAAGGTCCTCGCGACGAACAGAGCGAACTTCGGGCGACGAGTGCTCCGGGTGTCTCAGAACTTCCTGCGACTGATACCCCGTAATTTCGCCAATTTCGGCCCCGTCCACTATATTTATCAACAGTGGACGATAATACCTCGCCTCGATGATGGTCGTCGTCGCCACGGACGTTTTTCCGAGGGTGTCCCGAATGGCGGGGGGTGCCACAGCGAGCGCCAGTGCGCCCCACCAGCCGCTTAAGAACCCGGCCAAAAGCAGAGGCGCCCACATTATCCAACCTGATTGGCGGTGTGATCGGGGGTGAGGTCGACACCTCGGTCACCCCGACTCGCACAGAGGCACGCGCTTTTCGCCCCCTCCTCCTCCTCCTCCTCCTCCACGAGCTCGGGGAGCGTGCCCCTTTCGCTGCCGCAAGTACTTTTGCGAGTCCTATGTTAACCGAGTCCTGTTTCTTAATCTTCTTCGTTGTTCCCCCCTCGCGATTAGTCACCTACGGTGACTTGATTCACGATCTCGTCCCGCTCGCCAAATGGCTGAATCGGTCGTTGTCTCTCGTGGCCTCTCCTTCCGGATTCAGATTCCTCACGAGGGGTTGTACCATCGATAGTGGAACGTCGGAGTTTCTTCCATATTTCTCTTCATCTTACGCGACACCGTTCTCCTCATCCTCAAAGCCGGCGGGGGCAGCCGTGGCGAGCCGCACCATGTGGCCGCTTCTCTCTCCTTATCCCTGCGTCTTCCCTTTTCTCTTCGCAACACTGTCGTATTATCGCAGATGATCCCGACCGGCGGCTGCGACGATCGCGGACGCGACAACCAGCATCGATCTCTCATAAGTCGTGATCATTATGATTCGCGATCGGCTCGATCATCCTGATCCAACGTAAACCGGCGGCCTCGTCGATTGTTTACCGCGAGCCCTGAGTCCTTCCACGATTCCGAACGAGACGGACTTTGTGACTTCTTGATAGTCGACGGAACCGGCCGGAGTGATGAATAGTCCTCTCTAGTCCACGTGCTCGCTCGCAGGCAAACGGAGCCGATCGACCTCGCAACAGGAAACACCCGCGATTGTCAGGAACGCCGATCTCCTCCGATCCGTCAGCAACATCGAATCGTGTGGAATTCCGCGATCGTCTCGTCAACCCCTCGCGTGCTGACCGAGACTCGGTATCGCATTGAATTCCGAAACGGGAAAAGCGAGAGAGAGAGAGAAAGAGAGAGGGAGGGAGAGAGCGGTTTTGACACGGTCGTCAAAATGAAGATTTTCTATTACGGAGACGAGAACAGGAACGGCAGTAACAGCGGCGGCGGCGGCGACGGCGACGACCAAGACGAAGACGAAGATGAAGACGAAGACGAAGACGAAGACGAAGACGAAGACGAAGACGAAGACGAAGATGACGACGACAACGATGAAGAAAGTGTCGGCTTCCTCTCTGACAAGTCGAGACACTATTTAAATATACCCACGAGACGACCGCTCTTCTCTCGACTGCACGGCCGCCCGCACGCTCGCTCACTCGCTCGCGCACTACACTCCTCGGCCCGATGCTCACCACTCTCGCACGCGTACAGCTTCGCTTTTCGGAACGGGCCACCCTCGCCGATCCGCGCGACAATGACGGAGGAGTCGGAAGCGCACGAGAAAAGGGACGAACGAGTAATTAGGAGCCGTTGCCACACGCGCGTTATCACGCTTTCTCCACGCTCTGTTTCTGCAATTTTTTCTTCTCTCTCTCTCCCCCCTTATCCTTTCCCTCTTCTTTTTCTTCCTATCTCCCTCTCTCTCTCGCGCGCGCGCGCGAGAAACCGCTTCCTCACGCGCGGAGATGGTCGCGCGCGGTCTCCGTGCGGGATCGTCGACGACGGATGATCGGGTCGCGCGTGTCGCACGCGGCATACACACACGAGGCGTCTCGCGTGTCACGCGTGTCGCGAGAGACCGGAGGAAGGGAGAGATCGTCGGTGGCCCCGCGTCGGGCGCGCGCGACGGTTCAAATTAGACTGAGCGGCCCGCTCGCGCAGGCCGAGGCCGGCCACAGCGCCAGCGGCGCCTGGCGGACGCCGGTCGAGGCTTGCGCGCGCACCGCGGCCGCGCGAGAGTGAGACGGAGCGACGCGCGACGGACGGAGCGACGACGGGACCTTTAAGAACCTGTATAACAACGACCTAACAACCGAAGGAACCGCACGCGTGATCCGCCCGCTCCTCCTCTCTGCCCGTCTCGCAATCTCTTTCTCTCTCTGACTCTCTTCGTCTTTCTATCTTTCCCGCGAGTTTCTTTCCCATCTCTCTGTCCCTCGCATCTTCTCTCTCTCTCTCTCTCTCTCTCTCTCTCTC